TTATTCTCATTACGCTAAAACACACAAAAACCTACCTGATTTATGTCACTGCCACCAACTCATGGTTGTGGCTGCAGACATCCCAAGAGAAAACCAGAAATCCTTGGCACTACCATCCTGCCTGGAAGCAGGATTTTTTTTCCTCTTTGGGGACGTTCAAAAGCAAGTTCTAAGCCATTTTGGTGCCTCTGCAACCAAGCACCACCCTTCTTCACGGCTCGATTCCCAAGTTCTTAATGCCACTAAGGTGTTAAATTCTAAAACCAGTGTTAAGCAGTAGTATTGCAGTTATTGGGGGGAAAAGCAAGACCTTTTAAAGCCACAATCTACCCCAGAGACTGTGAGTTATTTCAGCCTTCCCTGACTTGGGTGTCAGGGAAGCAGCAAAGACATATCCAGCTTACAAGAGTAACATCGGGATCAGGTTTTTAACCTTTTCCTTACTTAACTTGCAAATGAGGATTGATTCTTTTCCCCTTCAGACAGACCTGCTCCTTTTCCAAAGGGAAATCACACTCGCTAAAAGGCTGTCTGAAGAGGTCTTAATATAAAGAAAAAGTCATTGAGTGAGCTGAAAGCAAACAGTTGGAGGAGGCTCCCAGAGAGCTCCCAGCATTTCATTATGCTTGTAATCTGAAAGCTCTCTTAAAAAAGAAAAGCCAAGTTAGAATAAAACATCAGGCCTGTGACTAAGTTTTTGCTGTGCTATTACATGCCTACAGAAATGAAAACTTTAGGCATCTGCTTTACCAAGCAGTTGCAGCAAATCCTAAAAGGAAATGAAAAAGCCTTGGCATATAATGAAGTACAGAAGTCACAGAAACAATGCAACATATTAATGACTGACACATGCCCAATTGGTACCGCCTGACTGGAGCAAAGGGCAAACTTCTTGCTATAAACTACTGAGAACCCCACAATTTTTACCCATCCCAGCTTACTTCTGAATAAAGCAAGGGTGTTGTCTTCAGACAGTCATTTTCAACAACAAAAACCAGCTGGAAAGAAACCTCTCGCTCCTTTTAAAGATTCTTGCACCTTTTAATACTTCTAGATACTCTTTTTCACAGCAAGAACTGCAAACGAAGTGAAAGTGTTGAGTCACATCAGGCTGTTGTCAGCCTGTGAAAGTTTGCCCATGTGCAAGCTGCTGAATGAAGCGCCATTCACACGTGTCCACCACAGGACTTGGGAATTCAGTGGGCTTATTCAACCCCAAGCTTATGATGCAAAATCACTGTCTAATTTTGAGGAGCAGCTTTCAGTAGACACTTCATCCCTTGGGACAGCACAAGCTGCTCTTACTACGGAAATTATTTCAGAGGCAACAGAAGAGTGAACAGTATCGGCACTCACTCCCAAACACCAACTGTTCACAGTCATTCAAAACCTTCAACGTTCTCTCCCTGCTTTTCTTCACATACGTTCCTCTTTGTGTCTGAAGTAACGGTGGAGCAGAGCTTCTCCTCTGTTAACGTCCCAGAATCGTTCCTTTTGCAAAACCCAGCCATTTAACATACAGGAAAGAAACGTTACTGATGGTTTTGCATGCAGTGAGTTGCTGCATTAAGCAGAGGAGCACTCTGTGCCTTTGGATGGGGAGGGAACTGAGCCCTGTGACGACAAATGAACACAGCTTTCTAAAAGACAAACGTTTCTGGAGGAATGGCCACGCCTCTCCTTTAGGGCCACAAGCACTGTGTAAAAGCCAATTACAAAATAATTTTATGCTTGTTAAAAAAGAAGCAACAGGACGGTAAAACTACCAAAAAGCTGGTTTAGCAATTCCAGAAAAAAAAAATTTTGGACAACCAATTCAATTTTTTCAACTCCAAGTGGTGCGTTCTGCCTGTTTACACATATCCTTGTTGTTGCTGTGCGCTGTGTCTTAAAAATCTACACCCCCTTCAAGAATTCCTGTTGCCAGGGTTTTCTGGGATGGGAGACAAGAGACAAAGTGTTGGCTGGAATAGCCCCAGGACTTTTTATCTCACCGCTCACTGTAGTATGTGTGCTTTTGTTTTTTCTGCGCTGTCTGGGAAGAAGAGGAATGTTCTCTTTTTTAAAATGTTTCCAAAAATTTTAGCCTGTGGGGGTGTGGTAGCTCTCTTATTATTTATTGAATTTGGGGGGTTTGTTTTGATCGCCTTTCCATCGTGTGTGTGGGTCCTTTATAAGGTAATATTTTTGTTAATGTTCATTTTCTTTGTGTCTGTACTTGTTGTCTGGTATGCCAGCACTCATCTGGGAGTATTTTATTTTTTTCAAGATTGGGCAGCTTTTTTGTAGAGATAATGGAGAATCGTATGTCACACTTAGCAATCCATTTCTGGTCCCATTTGCTAAAATAAAAAAAAATAGGAATCCCACAATTCAAGGTCTTTCAAAATTTTATTTCAGGACATGCTTTACCTTTGTGGGGCTGCCAGAGACCCGACAGCTGACTTTGGCAGATGAACAGGAGGTCTGGGGAGGCTGCTAAAAGCTCGTGGATCGAAGGGGAGGAGGGTTGTCCTTCTGGCTGTCCCACTGCCAGCAACCCTGACCTCCCCTCCAGCCGCTGGAGAGCTGCTGCGGCTCTGCATATCCACGCCTGCTGGCTTGGGGAGAGCTCAGGCTGTTGGTCTTCCTTCAGGTGGTGGGTGGGTGCATGTTGAATGTACGCGTAGAGGGCTGTGCAGGAATTGTCCCTTGAGCACAGTGTGAGTGATACCTTCTCAGTGTAAGCAGTTGTAAGCTTTTATAAGCTTTTGAAGAAGAGCCGGTGTGGTTTGTACATGCCTCAAATGTCTATTTTACCTGTAAAGCCAGTAAGGCCATGGACAAGGGTGATCTGGAGCCACGGAGAACGTGGGCATGGGAAGTATAAATCACTTTGAGATCTAGGTCCATCCTGAGCATTGTCCATTGGCCTCTGCTGCATCCCGGATGCCAGGCTAGCTGGGTCTTTGGTCTGATTGTGTTGGGTGTTTGAATGCACAACTATACCTTTTTTTTTTAAATAATCTGATGAAGTATGACTCTATTTTTTTTATCTTAAAAAAATCCTTTTTAAGTTATAGTTTATAGGGGTTGACTTTTTAGTAGCAAATCAGTGTAAACCTTTAGATATGCTTTGAACAGAGTGATTGCATTTTCTTTCTGTACCATTCAGAGTTAGAACGGGTTCAAAAGAGTTCACAAATGTGAAGGGAAATAGAAAATTTTCCCAGAAGAAGTTTTTGAAGCCTGGAATAGAAAAAATGATACCCTGTAGGGAGGGGGTACTCAGTTCTGACCTTTCTCCTGCAGACTTGTTTAGCTTTGCCACTTGCAATGAAACGTATTGTCAGGCATCTAGCGAAGGACTTTGCAGGCCATAGGGGGATCCCATAAAAACATTGCTGTGGTCCCATGTTGCAAAAATACGGCTAGGTGTGGAGAAAAGCCTTCTTTGATGTTTAGAGGCTCTGCTCAAGGACGTTGGCTCCCCACCCCAGCGCTGAGTGAAAGGGAGGGCAGCATGTGAGAAGCAGAAAGCTTCAGAGGGAAGGTGGGTGATGGAGGTGTCCTGCTGTCGGTGATGTGGGTGGGCAGGACCAGCAAAGTGCATCTCATGAGCCGGCTACGGAAAGAAATGAGATGTTGGAAAGCCCTCACGTAAAGGGCCTTTCTGCTAACTCCCTTTTTGGTTTAAGGCCTCAAAAATGTGGCCACTGGAGGAGGGATTAGGAAGTAGCTAGTGTAGCCATGGCTCTGGCACTCCAGGAAGGAAGCTCCATCTCTTTCCAGTTTACCTTAGATTCCTGCTATAATAACTGGGTTAGGGCTCTGGATTTTGCTCTGTGTAGCCTGTCGCAGTGTGGTGGAGAAACGTAGTCTGCTGGGATCCAACAAGCGGGGTTAATCTTTTTCTAACAGTATGGGGTTCTTCTGAGGGTTGGTGAAATAAAATAATGGTGAAAATCAACACGCTTGAACCAGTCCTTGGACGCTGGCATGCCTTACCTATTTAATTTAGGTTTTGCAGCACTAAGAGGGTTTGTGTCAGAAACACTTGCAGAAAGAGAATACAGGAGAATGTCAGTGGCTTCAGCATGGGGCCTGGTGGTGACCTTCCCCCAGCGAAGCATTACTGGAGGAACAAGAGGACCCTCTGTGAACCCAGCAATTATCCTGCTGCTGCAACCCTGAGCAATAATAAAAAAAAAAAAAGTTGGTTTTGAAACAGGATTTCTGAAACACTTGTTTTCATGTTCTCCTGGTTTAAGCCTTTAGAATTCACTGGTTTCAGTTTTTAATCTCAGCTATATGAAGAAGGATGGGTATTTGGTTGTGCCTGTGTTATGCCTTTGCTGTCATAATTTCCAGGCTGGGGCTTTGTGCAGAATAACCTATGATCTGGGACTTAGAGTAAGCTTGCGGCTTTGTCCCCAGCCCAGACCCCTGGCCTCCCCAGTCCTGAGCAGTGTTTGTGTTAGGTAAGATAGTCTCTACAGCCTCAATTCTTTTCTCGGATATCCCTGCTCTGGTCTCTGGTGTTTTGGTTTTTTTTAAAACCTGTGCTCCTCTCAGTGTTGCTCTGTGACCCAAACTGTCTGTTTCACTGCTTCCTCTGCCTTCTCCAGGGTGTCCATCTCTGTCTTTCCACAGTCACTTTCTGTCTGTTCACCTCTTGCTCATCCTCTTAAAAGCGGGAATTAAGAAGAAAACTAATTTAGGTTTATATACCTAGGGAGCCAAGTATTGAATATTTAACCAACTTAGTAGTTAGCATTTGACCATCATGCTTTCCTCATCATCCTTATTTTTGATGTTTCGATGTGGAGTGGTCAGGTTTTTCAAAGCCACATACGAGCCATGTGTGTGACCTACTGAGGTGCTGCTGCTGTGGCTTTAAGGTACTCTGGTCCCATTGTGAAGGTGAGGAGGAAGGACCATGGTTCTGAATGTTCTGCAGGACAGACACACGTATGAGCTGAACTGATGGTCGTCCCAGTGCTTCTGCCTTTCCCTGATAGGGAGCTGCCTCACCTCCCATCGCCTTGCTGCTGCGTCGTTTCAGCCTGGAGCAGGAGTCGTTAGTGCTAGATCTGTCTTCATGCTGGCTGGCCAGCACTAAAAAAGGTAATGGGTCACCTTCGCTTACCACAGACCCAAACTGGTGTCCTGTACGTCACCTGAAGGGCAGACCTTTTCCCCGTAGTATGCAAATTTTTCGCGTGGCTCAAGGCAGGAAAGCATAAGGTCTGTGTGGGAGAACTAGGAATAGAAGCCTCAAATCTGAAGTTGTCAAACTCCTAGTTTGGCCGAAATAATGGGCTGCTTTTGGCTCTGCTCTCTGATTTCTTGGAATCTATGGCTACTTGGAGAAGATGGGCCAGGATGGTGGGAAAACAGTCTTGAAACAACCTTGGAAACTTCTCAGAGATCCCTATGGAAGATACGAGGACAGAGAATAGGAAATATGTAATCCAGGGGGTGGCTTTGTAGAATTATCCTGGTTTTGTGTATGAACCTGCAGTGCAGGTCTAAAGTTCATGATAATGTTGAGAATTTACTTCTGCAATAAGTTTTTCATTTTCCATTGATTTCTAATTTATTGCTATTTAATCCATCCTATGCTACAGGCACACAACTCCAAATGTAGAAAAATAAGCTTATGATCCAGGTTTAATTCTAAAACTCTGTGGGATATCAAAAAAACAACTACCATTTCATCTGATCTGTCTAATGCCTTTGTGTATGAACACAATCCCTATTTTCCAATTGCTTTACAATCAGCGGCAAGCGGAAGAACGCAGTATGGAGATACAGGTGGGGTTTTGAATGCGCCTTTGCCCTGTCTGAAAGAGACCTGGTGTGCTGCACGCTGTGCTAATGTTGTGGAGGAGAAGGTCTCGGGTGCATGCAGGTGGCATTCAGGTTCTGCAGCATGTTTTTAATGGTCCTGAGCAGACAGAGGTGGGACAGGTGTATGGAGACCTTCCTGAATCTCTGACCTTTCTCAACTTGCTTTGGTTTCTTCAGCTTGACCAAGGGAAGATGCATGTGCAGAGGCAGCAACGGGAACGTTGTTCACGCTTTGGCAGAAGGTTTTTCGCCACTCTAACATAAGGTTTCCCAGCTCCTGCGAATGTCCATCTGCCCAGCCACCACCAAGTCTGGGCTAGCCAGCCTGCTGCTGTCCAGAACCTGTTCTCGCTATCCTCGCTTGGTTGGCTTTCATTTTTTAATACACTAGGTGTGAAAAAAACCACTGCTTTAGAGTGCACAAGTGAAGATTTTCGTTCCGTCTATTGACGGCTGTTGGTATTTGCCCTTACTGCAGCTCTAAGAGCCGGGTGTCTGTGTGTGTGGATATAGATGCCTTTTAAAGGCCTATTTTTCTGTTCCCTTGTCTGTTGCTCCTTTCCCCTAAGTGAGTAAGTAATATGTCACATTCCTTGTAATAGCGTACCATACCTCTGTGGGTACAGTGCATCAGGTACCTGATTCTGTCCTGAAGTCACTACTTCTAGATGGGTACCATGCATAATTCTCCCAGGCTAAATACCACTGGCTGGAGAGTTCATAGTCATTTTTCCAGGGTAGGAAACACCACGAATGTTCAATGTAATTCACTGATGTGGTATTTGGACTTGGTATACAGGCTTGATTAGTATGTGGAATTGAAAAATGTTCTGTGTGAACAGCGAAATATGATTTATTTATTATATTTGCCCTTTTTATACATCATACAGCTGATGTAACTGCTAATTTAATTTGACAATATCAGAGGTTAATCAACTTGGAAACTTGGTAAGTAAGAATAACAAGTTTTAGACTGTTTTCAAAGGAAAGAGAGGTACATTTGAATGATTAAAAACTTTGTAGGGCTATTACACTTCTGCTTTGGCTTCAGATACTCTTCCCTTCAGGCTTCAGCCCTATAGCTTGGGAGCACTCAGGTACTTTTGGGGTCTCTCACAGTTTTCTACTCTGAACATCTAGTACTGAGCATGTGGAAGGCTGCATGCTGTTGAGTAGAAGAGCCTTGTTGAGGGTAAGGTCTGTCCAGTTTGGAATTTGTATTTCTGCAGAAATACAGCTTAATTGGTCACAGTTAGGTATAGCTCTGCAGCGTCCCTGGGGCTGGCTGTCCATGATGTGTGAAGTCCTTGGTCCCACCATCACGCACGAGGTTGAGCCTGTGCCTGGTGCATCCATTTGTCAGTGGGCAAGTGGGACGTGCTCTGCAGGCCTCGTGTGCAGCAACTGCAGAAAGAGAACCCTGCTCCTGGCTCGCTCCTGTCTTTTTGGTTATTGCCTTAAATAAGAGGAATATGATACTTTCCTCCACCTGTGAGTTTAATTTTTAAATTTGAAATATTACTGGTGGAAGGAAACAATCCCCTTGTTTTGTAATCCTTGCCTTTAGGCAACTGATGTGAATGCCTTCTAAGTCTTGAAAGTGAAGTGCTGGGGGGGTTCATTCTGCTGGATCCTGTTTTCTGATTCATGTGCCAGCGTAAGGATTATTCCCAGACCAGTCGTAATTCACTGACTCTTTAAAAAAGGGCACCGCTGAAACATTCAGCTAAAATAATCCTAAAATGTGTTAAATCATTTAGTAAGTGAGTCCTCACTGATCACTGTGGGTCTGCTGTCTTGAGTAGAGCTTAAAACTGCAAATTCCTTATTTCTTGGCTTTTGTACCCAAGTCCTCCCTCGTAATGCCTCTTGACCCTCTGCGGAGACTGATCTGTAAAAACAAACCCTTCCCTGCTCTTTCAGTTTAATGAAGATTTTTCACCTTCTGGATCCCTCGCAAATGAATAGTCCAGCGCAGAACTACTGTTCACAGCGCTTCATAATGTTTATTTTTGTTGTCTTGTTCTGTTGCTGCGCGTTGAATAATTACCAACGAGCTCGGAGAATGCTTCTGAGTTAGTCATTACTTCCAGAAGATATTATTACACCTGAAAGCAGTAGATCTTTCTCCTCTTTTACGGTCAGTTGGTTTCTGGCTTGTTTTTATTATTTTTTAGGCTGACTTGGGTTCCTTGAGGCTTACTCTGTACTAATCCCTTGAAAATCTGTATGGTCTTCCCACAAGGCATCTCTGTCATCAGTCAGGCTCCAGTGAAGGTGGAAAAGCAGCCTTATTGTGGTCTTCACACAAGATGAAAAGCTGTTGGTCAAATGTACTTGTGTTGACATGCAATCTGACTTCTTCACATCAGTCTTTTAATTAGCCAAGAAAAATATCTCTACTTGTAGTTCCTGGTGTCGTTTTCCGTGTCTTGTGCGCACAGGAGTGCAGGGAGCAGGGCTGGAGTATTACTGAGCATTCGGGCATTTGAGCGTAACTTCCCAGGAGTTGGGTGCGAGAAGCACGCCTTTGCATGGACCAGCTCAGCGTGCGTGTCCAGGTGCCCTCCCCAACCTTTGGCCATCCCTCATGCCCTCGCTCCGGCAACGCTGAACGTGCAGCATAATTACGGAAGAAGGAATGTATTGTAACAGGGCAAAAAGGTCCCTTCAGCTAGAGGATTGTTTGAGCTTCCGTTTGGGCAAAGAATTACAAAAGCAAATTGCCTAGACTTACTGTCCTAACGCGTTGGAAGTGTGATGGGATGCGTTTGCGTTTGCGCTCGCACGTGTGGAGTTAACGGACAAAGCGCCGGTGCAGTCGCATCCCACCGCCTGTCTTCAGCTTCACCGGTTGTGGGTTACGTCCTTGGCGTTTTAGGCCAAGGACAGAGGCAGGATGTAAAGAACAAAACGACAGATAGCGAAAAGAGGGGCGGAGGGACCCACAATGTCAGATTCTTTGTGGATTAGAAGAGTAACACTTGAAGGGTGGCTATTAAAAGGCTTATTTGCAAAGCGCTGTCTCTCGAGAGGGTATGAGTGCCTCATGAATATCTGGAGAAAGCCCAGTCCATTCTTAAGAACAAAAGAGTCGCTGTATGAAAACAAACCCAGTAGAAGTGCTTTGTTAAATCAAGCAGATAGCTGTTACAGAGTGCAATGGAGAAGTCGGATGAGATGCAGAATTCAAAGCAGTAAGGTCAGTTAAGTAGCAGTGGTTTACTAAAGACTGCAAAATTTGTCATCACATCAAGATTTTAACGTGATTAGATTTTTTTTTTTTAAAGTACGTAATTGCAATCATTTATTCTCAGCTTCATTAAAAAATAAAGTTGCTTGAGCTCTTCAGACCTTGCAGAAGGCTGAGTTTGGCAAAAGTCAAATCTAGAAAGTAGGTAGGGGAGGATGAAACCTCTTGGGATGAGAGCAATTACAGTGTTTGCTGTCTTGGGTTTTTTTTCAGGGAGGCTTTTCTTGGTACACCACATGTTCAGATGACCTCAAATTTGGGTGCTGACCTTTTTTTGCATCATCAGAGGCACAATAATGAGAGCAATACTCAGAAGCTGGTGGGTTTTACAGATTTTAGAGGAATTGGTGACTAGGCATAAACAATTTAAACTGTCACAAGGTTGGTAATGAGCTGCTTTTTCCTGGTGAAATCCTCTTTACTTTAAAACTAGTGGTGGTCTCCCAAAAGCGGTATGCCAGTTCAAGCTGCTGGGTCAGAGTATAGTTGTACAAAGGGCGTGATGCTTATGAAATTGTGCCGATAGTCATAGAACACGTGGGTAGCAACTGTGTTTCCCATGTGGCTGGAAGGGCATTGCACCACTAACTTGAAAGCGGTCTTTGGTGCAAAGTTCCTGATCTTTGACAGTAATTCTTGCCACCGTCTCTATTGTCTTACAAAGAGTAGATTCAAAATAAACCATTGAAAAAACCTTACTGTGGTATATTCCTCAACAGGAACGTAAACCAGTGTGCTGTGGTTAGGACTAGTAATTAGTGTTGCTGTTTTATGCAGAAAAAGTCATCGGCCCGACTCAGAACTGCTCCCCCCGGAAGAATATATTTATACAGTGTAGCCGTCGTTAAAAAGTGAAGGTGTAAAGAAACTTTGAGCTGCACTTGGAAATAAATTATTTAGGCCCTTAATACAGGAGGTTACATGAGAAATATTTTTAACTAATTTAAAAATTCTGCAGCTAGTGACGTTCAGGATCGCCTTCGTAAGTGTTGATGAACTTCAACAAAGATCACTTCTTTTAATATTTCAGTGTGAAGGAAACTGGGGTAGTGTAAATTTTGCAGAAAAATGAAATGTTAGGGAAGCGTTTATAAATACTCTGCATGCAAATCTGAGGCACCAGAGTGCAATGTTTCCCCTGCTTAGTAATGCTTGACATTTGGAAAGTGAGTTGGAGTGTTTTACACAGACATGATGTAGATGGTGGGTACTGTGAACTGACTAATAGAGCCATTAGACCAGACTCAACTGATGGGATGGGACGAGAAAAGGCAAAAAGCACATTCCATATGCTGAATAGGTGTCTGGTCCTAATTTTAAGCACTTAGCTTTGTCTTGGTAGACCCAGTTTTCATGTCGTTAGGTTGCAATTTAGTGTTTTGTAGCAGAGCAACTCAACGTATAAACGACCTTTTTTTTTTTCTTTTTTCCCCTGGAGAGCTTTATGTA